CTGAGCCCTGGATTATCATAAGGGGGCCCGACCATGCATTATCAGACTGTTCGGGCTCCAATTAGAAGAGCGGCGCTCTGCAAATTTGCCTCGATTGATGCACATTCGCTGCTCACCCCCATCAGTAGCAGAGCGCTGCTCAACTAATTGGCCAAATAGCAGGGTTCCCCATCCTGCTCGGGCTCTGATTAGCAGAGCGCCGCTCTGCGAATTGGCCTCAGAGCATGTGAGCGTTCACTGCTTCTCCTCTCATTAGCAGAGCACCGCTCTACTAATTTGACTGCGAGCACGCGCACTCGCTGCTCGTGTTTTATTCACCTGAGAGGTGTTCTGCTAATTGCTCCCCTGGGCACCCTGTGGATCCCATGATATTGCCTCTCCATGGGGGGGGCCCGTGGGAGAGGACCCATGAGGCCTACAAGACGGCCCAGGAGCACTCCAAGCCGCCAAAGAGGCCCCAAGAGCATTCCGAGAGGCTCCCAAGAGGCCGCTCAGACTGAGTTGCGATGATGTCTCAGGCGAGCCTGGCCAAACCACCTTTGGGCGGCACATCCCTGATCGCAATACAGTTGCGAGGATGTCTCCCGCAAAACTGACCCCCCCTCCTGCCGCCCCCCGACGACGACGACTACCCGGCGGCGCCGGGAGGGGCCTCGGGAGGCCAGATACCTCCAAGAAATTTCCTGGAGGCATTCGGCTTCCATTGTTTACATGTTGCTTAAAGCGAATGCGACGTATGGTCTTATTATCTGTATTGTTACTATTGTTGTTGCTAGTAGTGTGAGTGTTATTATTATTGTGATCAGTCTTCGTGTTGTTCTTAATCTAGTTACGATGTTTCTTCTAAATTACTCAGTCTGATTATTTTTCGACCAGGATGCCCAGCTTAGGTCCCGAAGCATGCGGAAACTGTGTGGGCATGTGTTTTAGCAGAGGCCGGGGGTCTGGGCCCGTCCTCCTCCTCCTCCTCCTCCTCCTCCTCCTCCTCCTCCTCCTCATCATCCTCCTCCTCCTCCTCCTCCTCCTCCTCCTCCTCCTCCTCCTCCCCTCCTCCCCCTCCCCCTCCTCCTCCTCCTCCTCTCCTCCTCCTCCTCCTCCTCCTCCTCCTCCTCCTCCTCCTCCTCCTCCTCCTCCTCCTCCTCCTCCTCCTCCTCCTCCTCCTCCTCCCTCCCCCTCCCCCTCCCCCTCCTCCCTCCTCCTCCCTCCTCCTCCTCCTCCTCCCTCCCTCCTCCTCCTCCCTCCTCCCTCCTCCTCCTCCTCCCCTCCTCCTCCTCCTCCTTCCTCCTCCTCCTCCTCCTCCTCCTCCTCCTCCTCCTCTCCTCCATCCCTCCTCCCCCTCCTCCCCCTCCTCCTCCTGCTGCCCACCCTACTACATCACCCCAGGCCGCCGTCGAGCAGGACGGCGGGGCGGCGCGCGGCTCCCGAGGAGGTGTTCATGGCGCCGCAGAACATGGTGCACTCCCAGACGCTGGTGCGCTCCCTGTCCTGGTAGCACGAATGCGGAGGAGGAGGAGGAGGAGGAGGAGGAGGAGCAGCAGCAGCAGGAGCAGCAGCAGGAGGCGGGGGAGGAGGAGCAGGAGGTGGAGGAGGAGGAGGAGGAGGAGGAGGAGGAGAAGGAGGAGGAGGAGGATGGGAGGAGGAGGAGGAGGAGGAGGAGGAGGAGGAGGAGGAGGAGGAGGAGGAGGAGGAGGAGGAGGAGGAGCAGGAGCAGGAGGGCCCTGGGACACACAGGTAAATAGACAAAAATAGCAGGATTCCCCATATTTTCCCTCCCCCCCGCACTTCCCATATCCTCCCGCTTCCCACTTCCCCCCCCACTTCCCATATTTTCCCACATAATTTGGGGAATCGTCGATTAATTGTGTCTGTGTGTTTTTGTTTTCCTCCTGAGAGTGAGCGGCAGATCGAAAGGAACGACCTGGGCCGCACACATTTTGCGCTTCGCGCGGCGCACGGCGCGGTTACCCGAGCACTCTCGCGCCGCCCCCGGAGGAACGGCAAAGCTCTGCGCGGCTCAGGCCGCGAAGCGGCAGGCGCCGTCACGCTCGTGCCAGGAACGGAGGAACAAAAAAGACTCGATAAGCAGCCGAGAACTCCAGGGGCAGGTGCCTCGAGAAAAAAACGGTTCATCGAAAATCTGGGAATGGGGGCGAAGTCTTGGGAGGCGCCGTGCGCTGCAGTGCATCGATGGGGGGAATGAAGCTAACGCTGCTAAGCGCCAGTCAACGGTACACGCGGGGCGACTGTCCGCTTGACGCATATTTTCGCGCTTATTACTCTCATCGCGGCTCACCACGTCTGGCAACATTGCAGCGCAGTGGCTCCACGTACTGAACCCCATGCCACGAAAATCGGGGTGCCACCAGAAATCTGACCGGACATAAACGGGAGGCGCCGCGTTTGTCAAGAGCGGCGTGCTGCCCTGAGACGTGTCCTCCCAGGGAATGAACCGGTCAAAGGACTTGTGGTAGAAGAGGGGGTCGTACTGGTACAGCCCGTTCAGCTTGGAGGCCTGCTGCTCCGTGAGCGGGTCTAGGCTGTTGTTGTCGAACGAGATCGGCTCCAACGCCTGGGCCAGGGCAGGGTCAGCCAGCATCGAAGCGGGAAGTCGAATCGAACCGAAATGTGCGTCGGACCGAGCTGCATCGGCACAGGGTCGATATCGAAGCGGATCCGCCGCGCCAGGATCGACAGTGCCATGCAAGCGTCGGGCCACAGCGAATCGTCGAGGGATCTGGCCGGCCGGAGTCGTCATCGAATCGGATCGATCGGATAGAAGTGGACCCTGTAGGGGGGAGGGCCGGGAGAGCACGCGCGACGCTCCGTGCTCCCCAGCGCTTCTGCTTCAGAGTCCTTCCCCGTGCCCACCTCTTGGCCAGCGCAGCGTCACAATGGACATCCCCCCGCCCTTGGCAAAAGTGATGCAACGCCTCCTGCCCCCAGGCCTCCCATGAGTCCACTGGAGCGGCCAGAAGTGCCCGAAAACCTGGATCCTCGATTTCCGATCTGCGGCGACGACAGCTTGCACTGCCTTCCAAGATCTGTAGCGACTCAGCTGCATGCACCTGGTCTTTCAGGCGCCCCATCAGCGCGGGATGCGGCCACGCATCGACGAACGCGCTCGGCGGCGGGGCCGGAGCCGTCTGCCTCTTGCAGACTCCACAGCCCATCGGCTCTCCCACCCACCCCACCTTCCGTCCTCCCCGAACGAGGAGGAGGAGGAGGAGGAGGAGGAGGAGGAGGAGGAGGAGGAGGAAGAGGGAGTCTTCACGCCCTCGAGCCGCCTACCGGCAAGGGACAGCCCTCGGGCCAGAGGCGCGGAGAGTGCCATGCCGCATTCGGTTGCTGCCACGTCTGCTCGCCGGCCTCTTCCAACTCCGCCGGCTCCACGCGCCGCCGACGGGCCCCCGCCGACGGGCCCACCTGCGCACGGCTCAACGTGCATCGGCCAGGGTGTACAAGCGACGTCTCGGACAGCGTCTCGACAGGGGCGCGCAGACAGCGTCTCTGAGTACCTACCAGACCACCCCCAACCCAACCCGAAGCCCCGAACTTGACCCGAATCTCGGGTTGGGGGGAGGGGGGCGTACGGGTTCCAGGTGTTTTTGTCAATGTTCCCCGACCCCCCCCCCCACCCACCTGGGCGCGCAGACTGACGAGCGAACAACACGCCCCCATACCCATAGGGGGGACGGAGGGGGCTACGGGTGCGTGTTGTCGGATGGGGGTCCCCGCTCGAAAGGGAGCCTCCCCCAGGGCCCGACAACCCGCACCCATATCCATAGCCAGTCCTCCTCCCTCCGACCCTCCTGTGGGTATGGGTGTGTGTTCTTCGCTCGTCACAGGCGGCGTCTCGGCACGACGCCGCGGCTTAGCCCTCGCGCCCCTGCTGCACATGGCCTGCGAGCACGGCCGGGTGCGGAGGCGGAGAGCGGGGCGGCGGAGCGAGGCGCGAGGTGCCCGAGAGTCGGGTGGCCCCGCAGGCGGCACCCCGCACCAAGGTGCACAAAGAAACTGGCACGGGTTAAGTTGGAAAGTCGTCAAGCATCAACATGGCAGTGGCCAGGGCTAGAAAAACTGTGTGTGTGTTCCTCTTCGACGCCTGAGCGTCCCTGCTTCCCCTCGGCCGTCCCCCCCCTCTTCGCCCGCCGGCCAGTTCGCTAGTTAGTGCCCCTACCTAGCTGTTACGCTGGTGCGGATGTCGCCGCCTCGCCGCTTACGGAAAAAGTGTGTTGTTCTTCTTCCACGGCACAAACCACCAGCCATGATGCTTCCACCCTCGAGCACTGCACATCACCGCAGCTGTGCTGCGCCGCAGCGTGAGACAGGGGAGCGGATGGATAGCGTTAGGGCCCTCGACACCGCGTGCTGCCCCCCACAGAGAGCCAAGGTACCAGGGCTTGAAAGACTGGAGGGCAGCTGGCCCAGGGCTGGAAAGAGTGGAAAGGCTGGCCCCAGCCACCACTCTGCCCAGCTCCCCTGCACCAGCGCTCGACTCCATCGAGGGAATATGGCTTCCGATTCTGGCGCTGGTAGCAGCATGGAAGCCACCGCCAGACCTAAATGCGGCCACCGGCACGAAGATCGGAGGACGTGCCCCACCAGCGGAGGCGACCGCCGACATCGGTGCTGGCGCCAGCCTCCGAAAGAAAGAAGCGCAAGCACTCCCCAGCGGGATTCCGGCGCCCCAGAAAAACAACAGCAGCGACAACAGTGGCGACGAGGGCGCCCCTGGAGGCCGGAAACATTCCAGAACCTCGACCCTCGATCCTCGATAGAACTCGGACGACGTACGGCGAAACGTGGTGGATGCTCTCCCTCTCCCAGAACCTTTTTCCCGCGCAGAGGTCCGCCACCAGCCGCGGAATGCCTCTCGGCTCACATCTCGGGGATCCTTCTCGCGCGCAGAGGTCCGCCCAGCCGCGGAACGCCTCTCGGCTCACACCTCGGGGATCTTTCTCGCGCGCAGAGGTCCGCCCAGCCGCGGAATGCCTCTCGGCTCACATCTTGGGGACAAGGTGCCTCGGGTTCTGGCGGTGGATCACCTGCGGGCGGACCAGCCCCCCCTCAGAGCTCGCAAATCGAGAACAAGGGTTGTCCGAGAATCGAGGATCGAGGCTTGAAGCTTCGGCCTTGCTTGGGCGCCTTGGGATCTTCCAGGAACACCTGGCGACCTTCCAGAGATCTCATGGGACCTCTGGAGACCTCTGATCCTGCGTCACGAAAAAAATGTTGGCAGCGCGTCGTCAGGACAGGTTTCCAGACCAGTGACCCGAATTGCAGCACGCACGCGCGATGCTTGCCAGCGTGGGCCCTAAGCAGGGGTTCTTGTGCTCTCGATGTGCACACTGAGTGGTGCAAACTGGTTGGCGCCGTCTCTGCAAAGCAAACTGTGTGGTGCAGTCTACGCGGTGCAGCGTATGCGGTGCAATCTGCGTGCTGGACAGGACGTGGACCAGCCTAAGTGGTGTACTGTACTGGGTCCAGCCAGATGTGCTGCAACAGGCGCATACATGTCGCAAAATACACGTGACAACATACGTGGTGCAAGCTACGGGATGCAATATATGTTGCGCACTCTATGTGGTGCGATCTATGTGGTGCAATGTATGTTGACTGCATCCGCGCGTGACCACCTCCAACGCATATACAAACACCCCACCCACCCACACGCAATTTGATGACTAAACTCAACTGGGCGGGGACAACGAGGATGACGACGACGATTATGATGCTCATGACAACGGCGGGGACGATGTCGACGACGACACTTGTGATTGTGATGAAGCTGATGATGATGACAATGGCGGTGGCAATAGTTACGCTGGCAATCCTGATGGCGACGCCGACAAACTGGTAACGATGATGAAGAAGTGCGCACGCAGAAACATGACGAGGGCGACGACCTTGCCGAGAGTGATGACGACGGCGGTGATGACGAGCACGATGTTGATGATGATGATGATGATGATGAGGAGGATGATGAGGATGATGATGATGATGATGATGATGTTGATGATGATGATGATGATGATGATGATGATGATGATGATGATGATGATGATGATGATGATGATGATGATGATGATGATGATGATGATGATGACGGTGACTACGGCAATGATGACGCTGACGACGATGGTAACGATTGTGCTGACGGGGACGATGAGGAAGTGCGAGTTCGCAGAGGTTCCATCATACTTTCATTGCAAACTCTGATGACATACTTAAATTATCCTGGCGACGGACCCAACCATAAGCAATTGCTCGTAACGCGTTGTGGGTGCCGTTTTCGGTGGGGCTCCCTATGGGGGCACGAAGCGCTGCCTTGGGTGAAGGAACCGCATGCGAACTGCGCAACTGGGGCGGGCCTTCGGTGGAGCTCCCTATGGGGCCACGAAACGCTGCCCTGGGCGGGGGAACCGCATGCGAACTGCGCCACGGGGGCCTTCGGTGGAGCTCCCTATGGGGCCACGAAACGCTGCCCTGGGCGGGGGAACCGCATGCGAACTGCGCCACGGGTGCCTTCGGTGGAGCTCCGCTCCCTATGGGGCCACGAAACGCTGCCCTGGGTACGGGAGCCGCATGCGAGAGCAGCCAGTGGGGCGAGCAGCCATTGGGGCCTTCGGTGGAGCTCCCTATGGGGCCACGAAGCGTCGCCCCTGGGCGGGGGAACCGCATGCGAGAGCAGCCACTGGGGCCTTCGGTGGAGCCCCGATGGGGCCACGAAAAGCTGCCCTGGGTACGGGAACCGCATGCGAAAGCAGCCACTGGGGCCTTCGGTGGAGCTCCCTATGGGGCCACGAAACGCTGCCCTAGGTGGGGGGAACCGCATGCGAGAGCAGCCACTGGGGCCTTCGGTGGAGCTCCCTATAGGGCCACGAAACGTCGCCCTGGGCGGGGGAACCGCATGCGAGAGCAGCCACTGGGGCCTTCGGTGGAGCTCCCTATGGGGCCACGAAACGTGCCCTGGGCGGGGGAACCGCATGCGAGAGCAGCCACTGGGGCCTTCGGTGGAGCTCCCCATGGGGCACGAAACGCTGCCCTAGGTGGGGGAACCGCACGCGAGAGCAGCCCCTGGGGACTTCGGTGGAGCTTCCTATGGGGCCACGAAACGCTGCCCTGGGTGGGGGAACCGCATGCGAGAGCAGCCACTGGGGCCTTCGGTGGAGCTCCCTATGGGGCCTCGAAACGCTGCCCTGGGCGGGGGAACCGCATGCGAGAGCAGCCACTGGGGCCTTCGGTGGAGCTCCCTATGGGGCCAAGAAACACTGCCTTGGGTATTGAAACCGCATGCGAACTGCGCCACTGGGGCCTTCGGTGGAGCTCCTTATGGGGCCACGAAACGCTGCCCTGGGTGGGGGAACCGCATGCGAGAGCAGCCAGTGGGGCCTTCGGTGAAGCTCCCTATGGGGCCACGAAACGCTGCCCTGGGTGGGGGAACCGCATGCGAGAGCAACCACTGGGGCCTTCGATGGAGCTCCTATGGGGCTACGAAACATGTGAGAGGTGTGCCGAGAGCAGAGGCAAGGAGGGGGAGGAGGGAGGAGGGGAGGAGGGGGAGGAGGAGGAAGGAAGGTGGGACGCGGGGCGCTGTCTCTTCAAAACGAGGACACAACACCACAGGATGGTTGGGAAAAAATGATTGTGGAAGGATGGCGACGTGCGCTCGGAGACCTGCGGTTACGGCCCGCACTGCATTCTTTGACAATACACTGGCGGGCACGCGGCCCGCATGGTCACATTCCACAGAATGGCTACAGGCCAGAAGTTTGGCTACGATTCCAGCGAGTGCGCGCGCGCAGACATTTGAATGAATGATTTTGACATGCGCGAGCGGCGGCGCACGCATGTGAACCACATGATATGTGTTGCAACAGATTCATAAATTGAAAACTTCTTCGGTTCACGCATGCACACCGCATCATATGGTCGGTCTAGGGTAATGGGGGGAAGACCGAGACTGGGACTGAACCGTACGAGGAATGATCGTGTAAAAGGAATGTGGGGAAAAAAAACAATATGCGGGGGGAGGTTCATCGCGGCCTTGGTGGGGGAGTACGATCTAGCTCTTCCCAGGAGAAGGCATACATGCCGCGCGGCATATGTGGTGCAATACCTGCAGTGCTATACCTACACGTATACATATTTGTATGTCTTGACCCATCATCTCGGACAGCACGCGCATGGGTAGGGCTCTCCTACGGACGTGGCCGAAACTCCCTCCCTCGCTTCGTCACGCCAGGGACGAGGGGAGGACACATGTTTTCGGCATGGGGTTGGCGCTCTGGCACCGATGCCTCACCGGTGCTCCTCAGCGACCCGCACAGCACCACATCCCCCAAAACTGTGCGGGGAGGATGGGCGAGACAAGTGAAGTCGGAGGGCAAGTAGAGGAAGAACAAAAAACTGCATAAACATAAGCACTTGGAGGTCCGCGCGGATTTCCTGGATCTACGCGGGGCGCGCCAGGGGCGGTGCTGGAGGCGCTGCCAGGGGGCTCCCAGCTCAGATCAAAGAAATCCGCGCTGGCGAGCCGAAAGTTTATGTGTGTGCCGTTTTCCCTTCTTCGAGCAAGGCGGATCTGCGAGTGGCCTCCGGGTTCTCCCAAAGCTGACCCCGAGACGGTACCATCGTGGGACCCTGTCTGGAGCTAGAGACAATGAACAACCCAAAGGGTAATCCCCGGAAGGTACCCCTGAGGACGTCCTGGGAACGCGGTGGGGGGCCCTCACGGGCTACCTAGGGCTCTTCGAGACGCACGTAGGGACGCGGACGCCACCCATCAACTGAGAGGGAGCGACGACATGAAGCCGCTCTACCATGGCAGCCACGGGCAACCACCAGAACCACGCAGTCACATGCAGGGCCACACGTCGGAGGCGAGCAGCGAGGGGCCGCCTCGCCCTTCGAGAAACACACATGAAGACGGCCGCGGCTCACGGCCGGGGCCGCATGCTGCTGCACATGCCTTTCCTTCCTGGCGCACCCCTGCTAAACGAGCCGCTTGGACGTTACGGTCTGATGCTGTCATCTCTCCCGGCCCGTCCGCCTCACACCTCCCCGCCTGGCAGCAGCTCCTCGGCCACCTTCTGCAGTGTTCGGGGATGGACAGACCCCCCTTTAGTACAACGTGGTTTAGTGAAAACGACCTGAGGCCCAAACCTGGCGGGCGCAAGCCTGGAAAATAACGGCCACGGCGCCCTCTCGAGAACCGAAAACGGACAACTCACTAATCGACGTGTCACTGTTGGGGGTTCTGTCCACCCCCGAAGTGTGTGGAGATCGGCCACCGCGAGAGTGGTCCCACATCCCTGATCAGGGCAACTCACCTGGCCTGGATACTCGAGGCGTCAAGAGTTCCTTGGCGGAGCAGGGAGGCCCCGCCAGCGCGGCCGCGGCCTCCTCCTCTGGCTCGGGCATGCACTCGAAAGCGATCAGGGCCGCCTGCAACAGGAGGGAGGGGCCTTCTCCCCACAGGGGGTCCCGAGGAGGAGAATGACATGGAAAGGGGAGAAAAGACAGAGAAGGGAGGGATGGAGGCAAGAATGGAAGAAGGCGGAGAATGCGGAAGAGGAGAAGGGAAGGAGGGAAGGCGGAGAGAGGAAGCAAGGTGAGGAGGCGGTGTTCAATCGATGATGCGCGGCCTTCGCTGATCTCCTTAGATTATTCAGCCAGTGCGTAGCGCTTTTCTCCGAGATGTGAGAGAGGGAGTGAGGTTTCAAGCGGCCTGGGGGTTCGTCCTCATCGTCCCCCTCCCCCTCATCCTCCTCATCATCATTACTATTACCCTCCCGCCTCCTGGGAAAGGGAACGAAGAGGTGGAGAAGAAAAAGGAGGAGGAGGAGGAGGAGCAGGGGTGAAGGAGGACCAGAGGGATGCAGGAGGTAAAGGGCAGGAGGAGGGGTGAAGGGGAACAGAGGGACGGAGGAGATGCTGGAGGGCGGGGTGCAGCGTCTGTCAGCCGACGGTGAAAACAGCCGTCCCCCTCGCTCCGCTCACCGCCCCCCTCGCTCTGTCCTCCCCGCCCAAGGGGGTTGATGGGGGGCGACGATGCCCCAAGGAGGCCACCGACAAGGCCAACCAGGCATCTCTGGCCCCTGACCTGGCCCAGGAATGGCTCCAAAATTGCCCCAGAAAGCCGAAGACCCCCTCCACGACGGCCCCGCCTGGCCCCGAAACAGGAGTCTCCTAACGAGCCTCAGATGATCCCCCCTCCTCCCCCTCCCCCTCCCTCTCCCCCTCCCTCTCCCCCTCCCCCTCCTCCTCCTCCTCCTCCTCCTCCTCCTCCTCCTCCTCCTCCTCCTCCTCTTCTTCTTACTAGTATTATTCCTCTTATTCTTCTTAGTAGTATGATTCTCTTCTTATTGGTAGTATGATTATTATTCGTATTATTCTGTGTTATTATTCAGCTTCGCCTTATTATTATGTTTTTATCAATAGGATTACTCTTATTATCATTCATAATATTCTTCTTATTAACCTTCTTATCATTATCATTATTACGTCCCTCTTATTGCTATTAGTATTAGTATTCCTCCTCCTCCTCCTCGTCCTCCTCCTCCTCCTCATCCTCCTCGTCTTTCCCCATCCAGCTCCGCCCCCTCCCCAAACCACCACGGTGGTCACGTTCAGCAAGACCTGGAGGTACACCGCAGAGGTCTGCGTGGTGAACGGAGACCGGGACGTGACGGTCTGCAGAACGTTGACCTTCACTGCCTCCTCTTCCTCCTCCTCCTCCTCAACCTCTTCCTCCTCCTCCTCCGCCTCCTCCTGCTCCTCCTTCCTCCTCCTCCTCCTCCTCCTCCTCCTGCTCCTCCTCCTCCTCCTCCTCCTTCTCCTCCTCCTACTTATCATCCTCCTCCTTTTCCTGTTCCTCCTCCTCCTCGTCCTCCTCCTTCCCGTCCTCCTTCCCCTCCTTCCCCTTCCCCACATCCTCCTCCTCCTCCTCCTCCTCCTCCTCCTCCTCCTCCTCCTCCTCCTCCTCCTCCACCTCCTCCTCCTCCTCCTCCTCCTCCGCCTCCCCCATCCTCTTCCTTCCCCGTCTCCTTCCCCTGCTGTTCCCTCCTCCTCCTCCTCCTCCTACTCCTCCTCCTCCTCCTCCTCCTCCTCCTCCTCTTTCCCCCTCCTGTTCCTTTGTCTTCCCCTCCTCCTCTCCTCCTCCTCCTCCTCCTCCTCCCTCCTCCTCCTCCTCCTCCTCCTCCTCCTCCTCCTCCTCCTCCTCCTGCTCCTCCTCCTCCTCCTCCTCCTCCTCCTCCTCTTCCTCCCCCTCCTCAGTCGTCTTCCTCCACGTGACTTATTACATTGTTAATATTGTAGTAGTATTGGTATAGTGTTCATAATAGTAAGAACAACAACAAAAATAAGTACCCTGGCGACGTACCCAACCCCTGCGCAATGCGGGGCATGAGTAGCTTGGGAGACGTTATACGGAGGTGGTGACGTGACATGGGCGCATATACTTCTGCGAGCGGCAGTCGTGAGGCTCGCAGCCCCCCAAGGATTGCGATGTCTCGCTCAGATCTGCGCGGTGCCTCGCTCCGCTGACCCGCCACCAGCTTTCGAAAGTGGCGACAGTTCCGCAGATCGTCGCCCCCCAAGGACGGCGAGGCCCCGCTCAGATCTGCGCGGTGCCTCACTCCGCTGGACCCACCAGCAGCCCTCGAAAGTGGGGACGATTCCGCAGATCGTCGCCCCCCAGGCACGGCGAGGTCCCGCTCAGATCTGCGCGGTGCCTCACTCCGCAGGGCCCACCAGCAGCCCTCGAAAGTGGCGACAGCTTCGCAGATCGCAGCCCCTCAGGGACGGCGAGGTCCCGCTCAGATCTGCGGGGTGCCTCACTCCGCAAGACCACCAGCAGCCCTCGAAAATGGCGACGGTTTCGCAGATCGCAGCCCCCCAAGCACGGCGAGGTCCCGTTCAGATCCGCGCGGTGCCTCACTCCGCTGGACCCGCCAGCAGCCTTCGAAAGTGGCGACAGTTCCGCAGATCGCTATGCTGCCCTCGAAAGTGGCGACAGTTTCGCAGATCGCAGCCCCCCAGGCACGGCGAGGTCTTGCTCAGATCCGCGCGGCACCTCACTCCGCAGGACCCACCAGCAGCCCTCGAAAGTGGCGACAGCTTCGCAGATCGCAGCCCCCCCAAGCACCGCGAGGTCGTGCTCAGATCCGCGCGGTGCCTCACTCCGCAGGACCCACCAGCAGCCCTCCAAAATGGCGACAAGTTCGCAGATCGCAGCACCCCAGGCACGAGGCGACAGTTTCGCAGATCGCAGCCCCCCAAGCACGGCGAGGTCTTGCTCAGATCCGCGCGGTGCCTCACTCCGCAGGACCCACTAGCAGCCCTCGAAAGTGGCGACAGTTCCGCAGATCGCAGCCCCCCAGGCACGGCGAGGTCTTGCTCAGATCCGCGCGGCGCCTCACTCCGCAGGACCCACCAGCAGCCCTCGAAAAGAGGGGGGCGGCGCGTAACTATGAAGGCGGAGGCCCAAGTCATCAGGGTTAAATGGCTGCAGAGTTGGATTCGGCACCCCAACAATCATCTTCAAGAAATTGCATGCGTTTCTGGCACCGTTCCTCTTGATCATTCCGCGCCGCTGGTGGATGGAGCTGTGGCTGGCACCATAGACCCCTGTGCGAGGCATCGGAAGGTGAAGACCTCCTGGACAAAGCAAAGGAAAAGATCTCTGCTTTCTTCCTCGACCCCGACTTGAAAGAAGAGTTCTGTCTCCTGGATCCTGATGTATGGCGACGACGGCTTCTGGGAAAGATGGTATCAACTCCAGGGCTGCACGGTTCCGAGGAAGTTGGCCTAAGAGGTTCCCCTGGTGGGCGATCTTGACTTTGGCGCCTTTGGGGAGCATGAAGAGCCAGCGTACACATGCATGTTCCAAAACGATGGCGTCTGCTGCGGGGAATCCTTCGCGTCTCAGACACAATGTATGCCCACATTCGAGCTGGTCACGGTGTCCGTGGTCTGATCAGCGCACTATCAAGCACAAATCAACGCCTGGGATGCCTGGAACTGTTGTAGAGCCGCGATGCAGCACAGATACGTATTGCCAACAGTTACGAGCGAGGGTACTGTTGCAGGGGAAGCGTAACAAAGAGCCGAAACAGCATCGCTGTGCCGTCTGTGACTTCGAGGGAGGGTCCGTCCCATTGCTGCAACGTCACGCCCGCCGCAAGTTTCCTCAGTCTCTTGGGATCTGGTGTTCTGATACTGGCAGACTCGTTTCTCAGGGATTCATCGATGGAGAACCGCCCGGCGTGGACGGGCAAGAGGAGGGTGGAGGTGACGGCGGAGGAGGGCCCCCAGCAGAAGAAGCACGCGGCGGGAAGCAGCAGAGGAGACGGAGGAGAGGCCAAGAGGGCCACGCTGGACAGCCTGACAGCAGTGATGAGCAAGCCCATGCTGTCCAACGCCACGGAGACCAGGGCGATGGCGGGGGTCGTCGTCAACACCGTGCTGGCACCGTGCGAGGCGCCCGTGGTGAGGGCGCTGCTAGACCCTGGCGTCGACGACAGCGCGCATGCGCAGGAGTGGGCACCAGGAGGCGCTGGCAAAGAACGAGCACGCGCCAGAGAACACACGAGGGCCGCCTTCTCCTCGTGATGCTCGCCAGGCCTGTGGAGACGCTGAAGGAGCTCGACGAGGTGCGCGCGGAGCGGGCCGTGGAGGAGGCGGCAGGCGCACAGCACGAGAAGCCGAGGGAGCACTGCGCTCAAACCTTCTGCGCGGAGGGCGGGATGGTGAAGGCGGCCTCCGAGGTGCGCTACCTGATGTGCATGCGCGCCACGAAGGTTCGGGCCGAACGAGAGGGGGGGATAGGGCAAGGGGGGGTTACGAAATCTGCTGCATGCAGCTGGTTTCGGCCCCGCCGCCGGGCCCATTCCTCGATACGTGGGCGCCTCCCGGCGCCGGGAGGCGCTGGGAAAATCAGCTACGTAAGCTGATTCTCAAACCCCCCCTTTGCTATCCCCCCCTTTCGCCCGGCCCGAAAGATCGAGGGGAAGCCCGTGGTAACCAAGGTCACCTGCTTGTTCTAGGGCATCGAGATCGGCTCGTCGTGGAGTGGCTGTTCTGAAGGGGCCCTAGGACACACAAATAAATACACACAAATAAAAGGAATCCCCATATTTTCCCATGTTTTCTGGGTTTCTGTCTTCCCCCCCACTTCCCATATTTTCCCATACTTTCTGGGGAATCGACGATTAATTGTGTCTGTGTGTTTTTCCCCCTCCTGCTTGTTCTAGGGCATCGAGATCGGGCTCGTCGTGGAGTGGCTCGTGGAGAGGGAGCTGCACCAGGCCGGCGGCAGGCCAGCCCTGGGGAGCGCTCCGCGGTGGGCTCTCGAGTGCGAGGGGCAGGTCCTCCTCGCTAGGCCGAAGAAGAACCGCCTCCGCCTCCGCCTCCGCCTCTCGCTCGGCGGGGGGAGGAGGAGGAGGAGGAGGAGGAGGAGGAGGAGGAGGAGGAGGAGGAGGAGGAGGAGGAGGAGGAAGGGGGTAGCATCAGGTTCAGATACTCCAGATTTCGTAATAAAAGGGAGGGGGTCTGGACCCTCCAAGACAAGCCATTTCAGACCTCCCCGGTGGGAGAACCCTCCAGAACATCGTCCCCAGACCCCCCAGGCCCTCCAAGATAGCCTGGAAGAGACCCCCCCCGAAATGAGACCCCCTGCCTTTATTACGAAATCTGGAGTAACTGTCTGATCCCGCTCTTGAGCCCGCCTCTCGTCAGTTCGGTACCTCGTCGGTTGCTCCTCCCCCCCCCCTCGAACCCCACTGTGGCGATGGGCAATGCTTCGTGGGGGGCCCTCTTGGTGCTGCAGATCGGTGGGGAGGCCCCCCAGGCGAGTTTCCCCGCGAGCCTCGAGCGAAGGGCAGAGGCCGCGGAAGGAAGGGACGCCAGCAGGAGCTGTTTTGACGTGGTGCCAGGGGGGGGAGGGGGGGGGCGGCGCAGGCGGCGTGCAGACATGGCTTGGCTCCCCAGGCCTTGCGCGGACAGTGTGCCGCCAGGGCCCCTGGCCATTGCGACGTCGGGCGCTCCTGAGAGCCAGGCTGGAGCTCAATTTGCAATTTCTCGGTGCCAAGAGTTACTGCAGTACTGTATGTTCTTACTACGTCGTTGCAGGCTGGCCTTGTTAACGACTGGAGCTCCCATAGCGGTCATTATCATGTTCGTGGTCCTCCTCATCCTCCTGCTCCTCCTCCTCCTCCTCCTTCTCATCCTCATCCGAATCCTCATCCACATCCTCCTCCTCCTCCTCCTCCTCCTCCTCCTCCTCCTCCTCCTCCTTCTCCTCCTCCTCCTCCTCCTCCTCCTCCTCCTCTCCTCCTCCTCCTCCCTCACCTCCATCCCTCCTTCCTTCCCTCCCTCCTCCTCCCGCTTCCTCCTCCTCCTCTCCTCCTCCCGTATCTTCTCCTCCCCCTCCCTCCCTCCCTCCCTCCCTCCCTCCCTCCCTCCCTCCCTCCTCCCCAAAAGGATACCCAGGAAGGACCACCCCGCACATGCCCTCCGCGGCCACGAGCACGGCCGACACGAAGCAGAGCTTCGACTCCAGCGGCACCACGTAAGCCTGGACGTGCGGCGCGGGCACTGCGGGCACCGCCATCGTCGGCGGCAGAGTCGGAGTCGGCCGGAGTCGCAGTCGGAATCGGAGGAAGAGGAAACAAGGAGAAGGATAAGGAGAAGGAGGAGGAGGAGGAGGAGGAGGAGGAGGAGGAGGATCAGGAGGAGGAGGAGGAGGAGGAGGAGGAGGAGGAGGAGGAGGAGGGGGAGAGGCGCAGGGAGGCAGGGAGGGAAAGAAGAGGAAATGGAGAGGAAGTAGGGAGGAGAGAGCGGGGGAGGGAGGGAAGGAGGTAGGGAGGAGAGAGCGAGGAAGAGAGAAAGGAGGAAGGAGAAGAATAAAGGAGGCAGTGAGGGAGGGAGGAGGGAGGGAAGAGGGCGAGGAGGAGGAGACAGGGAAGGATGGAAGGAGGATGGAGAAGGAGATAAAAAAAAAGGATCAGGAGGAGGAGGACGACAACGACGAAGACGACGACGACGACGAGGAAGAGGAGAGAGGTTGATGCGACACGCGGCTTCGCTGCGTGCGTTGCGGGCTCGAACGGGACGCTGGGCCAGGTGGGTGGCGCTGGGGACCTCACGAGGACCCACCACTTACGCCACCGCCTGGCCCGGCTCCCGAAGGTTCAAGAGTCGGGGCCGCACCTCCCCACGGCGTCGGTTGGGAAGGGGGTTGGCGCAAAATGATGAAGAGAAGCCAGCCACAGGGCAGTCATGGAGAAAGGAAGTGCGACGACCCACCCAGGACGCAAGGTGGCCACTGCCGCAATGGAAACCTGCACGCACCGACACACAAAGTGAAGCGACAGGCAAAGCACAGATCGAAGAGGGAAAGCATGGGAGGCTCGAAGGCCCGGCGGGCGTGGGCCAACCCAGCTGGGAAGAGAGAGAGAGAGAGAGACAGAGGAGAACGAACGTCGAGCCCGAGACTGTGGCCGAACGACCAGCAGCAAGCAAGTCATCCAGCAACGCGCGGATGAACCAGCGACTCCAACCAAACGAAGCGTGCCCAGCCGCCACCTCGAATGCACACAAGCTGACTACGAGCGCATGCTCAACAAAGACACAGCTAGCTGTGCCGCAGGATGCGCGCTGGAGGCTGGGCGGGAGCCGGTCAGGGAAGGAGGACGAATTGGAGCGCCCCACAAGCAAAGGACCTGGACAGCCCTACGGCAATTCCTAGAGCCTGCCGCAAAGAGAACGGCAGCAATGAAGCATGCAATGGCCTGTGAAAATCAGCCTGACGAAGGACCCAACCATATGCAGCTGCGAGTGCCGCGAGGGAGATGAAACGAAGGAGAGGGGAGCGCAAACTCCGAGTAGCGCACGCGGTATAGCCCTCTGCCACGAAACGTGTGAAGTGTGTGCCGACATGAGTCGGGAGGACTCCTGCGAACGTCGCCATTGGGGCCCTCCGTGGAGCTCCCTATGGGGCCACGAACCGTGTGAGGTGTGTGCCGAAATGAGGCGGGGGTGCCATGCAAACTTTCCCACTGGGGCCTTCGGTGGAGCTCCCTATGGATGGGGCCACGAAACATGCGAGGGGTGCGCCGAAATGAAGCGGCGGTGCCATGCGGACCCTCCAGCTGGAGAACTCGGTGGAGCTCCCTCTGGGGCCACGAACCGTGTGAGGGGTGTGCCAAAATGAGGCGGCGGTGCCATGCGGACGCTCCCGCTGGGGCCTTCGGTGGAGCTCCCTCCGGGGCCACGACCGTATGAGGGGCGTGCCAAAATGAAGCGGCGGTGCCATGCGGACGCTTCCGCTGGGGCCTTCGGTGGAGCTCCCTCTTGGGCCACGAACCGTGTGAGGGGTGTGCCAAAATGAGGCGGCGGTGCCATGCGGACGCTCCCGCTGGGGCCTTCGGTGGAGCTCCCTCCGGGGCCACGACCGTATGAGGGGCGTGCCAAAATGAAGCGGCGGTGCCATGCGGACGCTTCCGCTGGGGCCTTCGGTGGAGCTCCCTCTTGGGCCACGAACCGTGTGAGGGGTGTGCCAAAATGAGGCGGCGGTGCCATGCGGACGCTCCCGCTGGGGCCTTCGGTGGAGCTCCCTCCGGGGCCACGACCGTGTGAGGGGTGTGCCAAAATGAGGCGGCGGTGCCATGCGGACGCTCCGCTGGGGCCTTCGGTGGAGCTCCCTATGGGGCCACGAACCGTGTGAAAGGTGTGCCACAATTGGGCGGCGGTGCCAAGCGGACGCTCCCGCTGGGGCCTTCGGTGGAGCTCCCTCTTGGGCCACGAACCGTGTGAGGGGCGTGCCAAAATGAAGCGGAGTTGCCATGTGGACGCTCCCGCTGGAGCTTTCGGTGGAGCTCCTTATAGGGGTGTGCCAAAATGAGGCGGTGGTGCCATGAGGACGCTCCCGCTGGGGCCTTCGATGGCGCTCCCGATGGGGCCACGAACCGCGTGAAGGGTGTGCCAAAATGGGGCGGCGGTGCCATGCGGACGCTCCCGCTGGGGCCTTCGGTGGAGCTCCCTCCGGGGCCACGAACCGTGTGAGGGATGTGCCACAATGGGGCGGCGGTGACGCATGCAACCGCTGGCTGCCACTTTGGCCCTCGGTGGAGCTCCCTGTGGTGCCACGAACCGTGTGAGGGGCGCGGCGCTGACGATGGAGATGGTGATGATCATGATGATGTGGATCATGACGATGGCGATGATGGTGACGATGATGACGATGCGATGACGATGACGAGGCGGATGGGAGGAGGGAGGAGGGAGGGGGAGGAGGGCGGGAGGTGCGGTGAGGTGACACGGGGCGCTGTCTCTTCAAAACGAGGACCCAAAACCACAGGATGGTTGGGAAAAAAACGAAGCCCAGCTCGAGCAATTCAAAATCGAGCGGCCTAGTTTCTTGGCACGGGGAAACTATCGGGATACGCATGTGATCTGCGATCGGACAAACAAATCTAGACATCCTTCTCGTGCTGGGGGGCGGATGCAATCTGGCATACCCGACACAGAACACCCTCGAGTGGTTTGCGCATCTTGGCGCTGCGAAACTGGCCATCGTGCGAGATAGTCCCGCAGTGCAATCACGCGGGCGGCTGGCTGGACACACATTTGAGACAATGGAACCACCCGCTGTTGACTCTGGGAACAGGCCAAGTCCTACCCGCGCAAGACCTGCAGCTGGGAGGCTGCACTGCATCGGAAGAACCCTCTGCGGCCTTGCCCGAGTCCTGCCGAGGCGGCTGGTCGTGTCCCGCTGCCTTGAACGACTCGCGGGTGGGCAGTGGCGGACGCTCTTGCTCTGGCAGACCGCCGCATCGAACGGCGCCCTCGTAAATGAGCCCTGCCCGCCTGGCCCAGAGATACACTCGTTGGTGTCCCCGGTAATCCACTCTTGAAGAGCGCTCGCGTCGTCGGAGACAGCAGGACCAGACACCTGCAGGAGAGAGGGAGGGAGAGGAGTCCCCCTTCCTCCTGCTCCTCCTCCCCCTCCTCCTCCCGCCTCTCCACTCTCCTCCCGCCTCTCCACTCTCCTCCTCCTCCTCCTCCTCCTCCTCCTCCTCCTCCTCCTCCTCCTCCTCCTCCTCATCCTCCGCTCCTCCTCCTGCTCCTCCTCCTTCTCCTCTTCATCCTTCTCCCCTTCATCCTTCTCCTCCTTCTCTTCATCCTTCTCCTCCCTCATTCCCTCATTCCCTCATGCCCTCATGCCCTCCTTCCTCCTTCCCTCCTCTCCTCCTCCTCCTCCTCCTCTCCTCCTCCTCCTCCTCCTCCTCCCTCCTCCTCCTCCTCCTCCTCCTCCTCCTCCTCCTCCTCCTCCTCCGCCTCCTCCGCATCCTCCTCCTCCTCCCGTCAAAGATCGTGGGGAACGGGAGCGCGAGAGGGGGCGGCCCACGGTGGCAGGCGAGGGGGCAGGCGCAGAGGGCCCCCCGCGACCGAGCAACGCGAAGGGGCTGCGCGTCTGCATGGCTACCAGTAAGGACTCGGCAGCAAAGAGAAGAAGAAAAAGAAGAAAGAGAAGAAGAAGAAGAAGAAGTACAGGGCATTTTTTCATACATGGGATTCAAAAACAAAAAATAGGGTTTTGAATAGATGATTAATTTAGGAATGGATTTCTGCCTGAACTCATCGTTGTTTTTAGTACTAAATCCCTGCATTTTTAATACATGATCCGCACGCGGAGCAGTATTAAAAACGGCACTGTAGGGGACAGGGCACATGAAGTGGGGCGGACGGCGAGGCGGCGGCGGCCCGCCCGGCATCGGCAGCAGGCCCCTGCCGCCCGGGGCGAGCCCGCCCGCGCCGGAAGAGGGGCCGAGCTCGTCCAGCAGGATGGGCCGGAAGTCCCCGAGGCCCTTGGCGTGGGACGCACAGAGGCATACTAGTACTATATGTTCTCCTTGGAGGCGCGCGTCCGACCCGAACATATAGTATACCCATCTTGTAGTATGTCGTTTTCCGAGGGGCGTGGCCAGAAAGCGCCC